TATATATATGTATATGTATATGTATATATATGTATATGTATATATATGTATATGTATATGTATATATATGTATATGTATATATATGTATATGTATATGTATATATATGTATATATATGTATGTATGTATGTATGTATAATTTTTGACATCTGTTCTAGTGCTGTAACTTTTTAATGTGTCATTTCTTCAAAATTAACATTACAGTTGTAGTGGGTTTGCTAAATAATTTGTCGATTTTGACTCTCCAAGAATGATTCTGTGAATCTTTGTGGCTGCATACATATTTTTGGAGTAGGTTTGGTTTGTTTTAGAGAAAATAATTCAAAAGCTTCATCTGGATTAATTCTTGAGAATCTGGTGTTTGCATTGGTAACTTAATGTGTTTAAATCATTCCTGCTTTAGTCTTTATGTGAATTGGTTTTGACATTGTTGAAGGAAAAAAAAAAAAAGAATGAAAAATGAAAAATGCTATGAATTTGTCTGGAATTTAATGCTGAAAATGTTTACATTTTATTTTAGCCACACAATATTTTTATACTGCAAAAATGTTAGTTTATAAAAATATTTTAAATAAACTACTGTTGAAAAGAGTATTTATATATCAAGTTTAGGTTATTAAAATGGTTACAGGAAATGGGAATTGGCAGGACGGTGCGTAACCAAGTGTGTTGCGTTTTCAGAGAGTAAAGGGCAGATCTCTGGAGGATGTGGTCATTCTGAACGTGGACACAAACACCCTGGAAAGCCCCACAGACGACCTCTACAACCTGCCCAGTGACGTGGTGAGTGTCCCAAACCAACAAACACACACACACCTAGAAATCTAAATGAAGACACACCATAGACTTCTATTGGTTTTATTTAAATCTAATGATAATTACTACAGACTAACTCTAATGCTAAAGAATAATGTGCATTTTTAGATGCACATTATTCCTTTTTCCATCCTTTTTCCAAATGATGACATGCCTAAATGTCCCCAAAATGAGGTTTTGTAAAATATATATTTGACAAAACCTCCTTTTGTAGTAGAGTGAGTCACATAATAAATATAGTTTTTATATAAAACTAAATAGATTTTATATAAAACTAAATAGTTGTTATATAAAACTATATATAAAACTGAAAAGGAAAACACTTTTGTATTTTTTTTGTAAAACATATAATATATAAAAATATATAAATTTAATATAATAATAAAAATTACTTTATTTCCCCAAATGGTTAGTTTCCCCTAATTTTGCTTTACTTTAAAGACAAAATTGTTCCCAGAAGTTAGTGAAAGTAAACCTACACACACACACACTCACACTCACACTCACATAACCGTTCTCTCTCCGTTTTCTTTTGTTTTAAGCCCACTGTACAGACACACACACACACACACACACACACACACACAAGAACATGATTGTCATTTTCTCCCTTTCTCTGTCTTTTTGTCACCCACCTGCACATTTAAACAAACAGTCTTTCTCTGGTCAGAGGAACACACCGCACCTCTGTCCTCTCATCATTAGCAGACTCAGCCGTGAATCCCCAAAAACCGCGCTCTGCAAACTTGCCCCGTGACGTTAAACAGCTGTCGCAATTCGCCGGCCATCTCTGTGAATTTCAAACTCCTGCCTTCATCTCTTTCTTTTCTTTTCTTCTTTCTGCCTGCACATCTCACTAGAAGTCCTGGATTTTCTGAAGGCGCGGGGAAGAAGGGGGCCAATTATTAGATCCTGCTTTTCTGCCACCTGCCAGCGCCTTCTCTCTTTAATTAATGTTAAGGTGGCACGGTCAGTGCAACAGGAAGTGCATCCAGCATCGGGGTCAGAAATATGTCTGTCATCTGTCCTTTTGAAGATAAAGAAACGTGTTTGTGGTTTTTTTTTTCCTTTTCTTTTTCGGCGTTCTTTTTCCTCTGCTGCTGGGGGGTGGGGTTTAACACTCCTGTATGACTCGGTGGATCCCGCTGCTGTCCGTCCAAGCAGAAAAAGTCAGCCTGTTCTGTTATGCCATCTCAGCACTGGCATCCCATTTGTAAATTAAATTGCAAACCGAGAGCGTCATAAAAAAAAAAAGAGTCGGGTCTTTTGAAACTGACGGAGGGGATAGAAAAAACCTCTTTGTCTTCGTAGCGTGATAAATTAAGTGGCAGCTCCATGTTTGCTTTGATCCTCTTGCGCAATTTTTCATTGACTAATGATAGAACATATTCTGCATATCATGTTAAATTACCCCACCTGAATGTAAATGTCACCTACAATAATATATTTATCACCTCAAAAATTCATTTTTCTTTCCCTCTAGTTATCATACCTTTGGGGATATTAAAATTCATAACTCAAGGAATATGTTTAAATTGAGCAAAAGCTCTGGGTTTATTTTTCCTCTTCTTAAATTGTCTGTCACATGGAGTTTGCTGGTGTTTATAAAGGACCAGTCGATTCAATTTAATTGAATCAATTAATTTGAATCACTTTTTTCTTTTTAATGATTTAAATGCACATTTATTAACAGATTTTAGCATTTCCAGCCTCTGAAAAAAGCAATGCATTTTACAACTCTAAAGCAAAATATAATATAACTGACCCTGGAGCGTTTCTTTTTTCTTTTCTTTCCTCCCAAGTCTTTTATTGATTCAAGCCGAACTTTTTGAGATTCATCTAATTAAGTGTTTGAAGGCTTTTTTTTTTTTACCATGTGGACTTTATTATTGGGAGAGTCTGACCACTAGACCCGCTCTCAGACGGGTCAGGGGTGACAGTTGTCCTGAATTACCTGGCCCTTTTTTCAGACGGGACCCTATGCTGTGCTCTCCGCTGTCTGTCACTTAATGGCAGTTTTTCTCAATTTCACACTTAATATTTTAGATTTATTGACTATTAGAAATGTTACCACGCCAGTAGCGATTCCGTTCCGCACAAACCTATGGATTTTACAAATAGAGATAATAATTGCCGCGGCTCTGAGAGGATGTGGCGAACATTCGAGAATGATTTCAAACATGCCTTTTTATTAGAAACATCAGATGGGACTGGGTTGAAAGTCCACGGATTGTTCTTTGGGTTGCGTTTTTAATCTCTACACTTTTTGGAAGTGTCACACAAAGGTTCAAAATAAATTTAACGCTTTAAATGCTACTTTTTATTTAGTTCGATGTGTGAAAAGTCAGTGCACTCTGTCGGTGAGTATCACATGACTTTTTGATCCAACGTATATAGAAATATATTTTTAAAAAAAAATCACTTTAATGCCTTTTTAGTCCAACTCTTCATGCGCACTTTATTTTTCAAACTAGATTTTCTTTGTTTTAGAAGATATTTGTTGCTGAAGTTTTTATAGTTGCATCAAGAACTGAATTTATAAATATTTAGGAGATTTTAATGACGGTGGTTGTTGAGTTTGCAAAAAATGAGAAAAAGAAAATAAATTGTTAAAAGGAGAGTTTGCTCTCTCACAAATAAATGAAGGTGTTTTCCTCCTCCTTAAACATTGTGAAACTTGTTTTTTTTATTATTCAATTATAATTGGATTTGGTAGCAGGGTATGGGGTGTTTACTTGTACAGTCATTAAAACTCTCTAAAAATAGAAAATTATGAATCCATTGTGCTACCAAACAGCGCTGAAGTCTTATTTGGATGCGATTCTCTGTTTTCACAGGTCCTGTATCAATCCTGAGACGGTTTTGATAAAATATTCCTTTTGACTTTATTACTTTTGTTCAAGTTACGCCAGATCTATTGTTTACTTTTCCAGTTTCTCTGTCTTTGCTGCTTGTGTCATTCCAGTTGTCTCCCTTTTCATCTCTTCCACACAACTTATATTTGTACTTTCTGCGTTTGGTCGTTTACGTTCTCGATCAACAGTGAAAATTTGAGTTTGCACACCCACCTCGTGTATATTAAGCTACCAAATGAAGGTTAACAAATTAATCTGAGGGAACTCAATATCCGCACGCCTCCTCTGAGATCAGCCGGCGTGGTGTTTAATTGGGATTCGAGAGAAAACAAAAACAAGCACTACATCAGCTGACACACCAAACAATTACTGTTTGGGGAAAGTGGGAATGTTGCGTTCTTCAGCGCTCGTTCTATTTCCAGGGCATCGCAAATCAAACCCATTCAGGAGCCTCTTAAAGGATCGGTTTGTTGTGCGGGACAGGTGGGGCTAATTTCCGGCCCGAGTGGACTAATGCAGTGTCCAGCCCTCAAGGCACCGCCGTTATTGGTCTGTTGATGAACAATAACTGTACTTGATTGGCGCTTTTTTGCTTTAAACTCTGAAGGCGCAGAGTGTCAGACTGAAATCAAATGCAGATGTCTTCAAAATCATGTAATTTTACATTCAAAAGGACTTTTTCAGTAAGACTTTTTAGAGTTTTAATGCATGCAAAAAAAAAACAACTGAAAAATGCATTTTGAGAGGTATTAATATTTTCATTTTTTTACAGACTTGCTGTATATCTTCCACATACCAAAATCGAGTAACTTGCGCATTCAGCACGCTTATGTTAGCATATGAAGAAGCAGTGATTGATGGAGTAATTTGCTTTGTGAATGCTAACTAGTGAACACTATTGAGTGGTCATTTGTTTTTCTGTTTGTTTCTGTTCAGTTTTTATGTATATATTTTATAACTGTCTGATAAATATCACATCATATTTGTGACCAAGGAGGAATGGCAGAGGATCCCCAAATCCAGGTGTGAAAAACTTGTTGCATCTTTCCCAAAAAGACTCATGGCTGTATTAGATCAAAAGGGTGCTTCTACTAAATACTGAGCAAAGGGTCTGAATACTTAGGACCATGTGATATTTCAGTTTTTCTTTTTTAATAAATCTGCAAAAATGTCAACGATTCTGTGTTTTTCTGTCAATATGGGGTGCTGTGTGTACATTAATGAGGAAAAAAAAATTAACTTAAATGATTTTAGCAAATGGCTGCAATATAACAAAGAGTGAAAAATTTAAGGGGGTCTGAATACTTTCCGTACCCACTGTATGTCTGATAAAAGTATTTATTTATTTATATCAAATGTATACTGTGTATTACGAAGACACTGACCTGCATGTCAGCGATCCTTTAGCATTACAGTTAAAATACGCTTCATCTTATTGTTTTTCTAAAAGGATATGAATTCACTCGGCGTGTACATGTACTTTTCAGCCTAGTGCACATCAAAAGAAAGCAGAAGATTTTCATATCTATTTCTTTTTTCTTTGTAGTCCTCTAATTGCCTCCCAACGGCTTTCCATCCCTGGACAGAATCCTTAACAAAACATATTTTTCCCTCTGTCTTTAAAAAAAGTCTTTCAGCCATACTCTGAAAGGGTCATAGTGTAACCTGACGATATTGTGAGCTGATTTATTTGCATGATTAACTCAGTCCACATAATCATTGTAATTCGTCATTTCTTAAATGCATTTCTTTTAAACTTTTCTTGTGTATTTTAGGTCATTTTTTCAGCTTTATATATATATATTTTTCATATTTTCAGTAATATTGCCTCATGCAAGTTTAAGCAATATACAAATATGACAAATACAAGTAAATGGTAAAAGTTATACGTTTTCTAGTAAAATATAGATTTCACTCTAAATATCCAGTCAGGCTGTAAAATCATCAGATCTCAGTTTATAAGCCTGGCAGAAGAAGTGTAAAATATATGTGTGAGGATATATGCCTGTGTGTAGCGCCTGTCCGCGGCTTGTCCAGTTCAATTAATTAAAATCCCTTGACCATAAACAGCTCAGCTCTCGAGGAGGGCCGGCGTGTGTGTGTGAGCAACTGAGCGTCTCAGAAGTGGTGTTCTGTTGAAACTCGGGTGTATAATAGAAGCCCACTGCAGAGCAGATCTCCATGGTATCATCCTTTAGAGCAGGAGACAGTGATGCACCTGCTAATTATCATCTCCAGCTGGTGAGTTAAATGGAGATCTGTTTTCAGGGCCACCTCTGACCCCGTGCTCTTTACTTGACGCACTTCAAACCCTGTTGGGGAGTCCATGCAGTAGAGTTTAATGAGGCCCTGTGTTTGCCCTCCGTGGGCTCAGCGAGTCGGAGGCTGCACTTTCATCCTCAGCCATCCTCGCTTGATGTAAATTGAAAAGATCACAGCTATGGGGAGAAGACCTATAGTGGAAAGGCCTCTCTGCATAGATTATGAATATCATAACTCAACATAACTCATCTTTTCTCCCCCCTCCTTCTCTATAATTTTTTTATAATTATAATATAAATATTTTTATATATATAAATATTTTTAAAGAAATATAAATATATAAATTGAAATCTTAAATGTAATACAGAAATATTGAAGACATTCTTGTGCACAACCTTTTGTTTTATATCCTCGTATTTGCCCACTGGGTATGCTGCACATTCTCCTGAGTGTGAGTGGCATTTTGCTTTCTTTGATTCTTCAAAAATGAAGACTGTTTAACGGATTGTTTGGGGAGAGTGAGAGAAGTGAGGGGAAAAAAGACAACGCATCTACATGAGATATTAATATGACGCCAACTTTACATAAACATAAAAGCACTTAGCCAGTGTGAATATGGAGATGACACTTGTTAATTTAGCGCCGCTAAACTTCCTGTTTGATGCTTCTGAGGATTCGCCATATCAGCTCAGGGACGCTGTGAAAAAGAGGCACGTCCCAATAGAGACGAATAGAACAAAAGACAACAAAAATGAAATTAGTTCTATATAGAAAAATGCCAGTGACGATTCATCCAGGTGCTTTTCCTGCGTTCCTAAACCCAACTGCCTCTTGGTATTCAGTGGATCACCTAAACGCTCTCATTTATGGTCCTCGCTTGATCTTCCCTAATGAAGGAAGCTAAACTGATTATTGATATGCATGCTGCTCAGTGTGAATTGCAGGCGTGCAAATTAATTGCCAGCAGATGGTTATGAGCACCGCAGCATACGTAATCAATTTGGTTAACCTTACATTACCTCCCCTCTGATGCTCCCCGCTCACATCTCGTTAATGTTACTCAAAGTATAGTGGTTAATTCGTCTAACTGATCAATTATTGGCCACACTTGTGCCGCCCCATTATTAAATTGAAGTTTATCACCATTGTCTTTTAATTTGTATGTCACAAATCGTGGTTTGTGAATCAAATATTGACAGAGGACAAAATTTAAGTGTAATGTACAGTAAGAAATTGTTATATCCTCGTATTTGCCCACTGGGTATGCTGCACATTCTCCTGAGTGTGAGTGGCATTTTGCTTTCTTTGATTCTTCAAAAATGAAGACTGTTTAACGGATTGTTTGGGGAGAGTGAGAGAAGTGAGGGGAAAAAAGACAACGCATCTACATGAGATATTAATATGACGCCAACTTTACATAAACATAAAAGCACTTAGCCAGTGTGAATATGGAGATGACACTTGTTAATTTAGCGCCGCTAAACTTCCTGTTTGATGCTTCTGAGGATTCGCCATATCAGCTCAGGGACGCTGTGAAAAAGAGGCACGTCCCAATAGAGACGAATAGAACAAAAGACAACAAAAATGAAATTAGTTCTATATAGAAAAATGCCAGTGACGATTCATCCAGGTGCTTTTCCTGCGTTCCTAAACCCAACTGCCTCTTGGTATTCAGTGGATCACCTAAACGCTCTCATTTATGGTCCTCGCTTGATCTTCCCTAATGAAGGAAGCTAAACTGATTATTGATATGCATGCTGCTCAGTGTGAATTGCAGGCGTGCAAATTAATTGCCAGCAGATGGTTATGAGCACCGCAGCATACGTAATCAATTTGGTTAACCTTACATTACCTGGATCAAGCACCGCTTCACGGTTCATCCCCATATGTTTGTGCACCGCTGTGTCTCATGACAGGCTTGGATGATTTGATACAGAAGATTTGGGAGTATGGGGAAAAATCTGAAGGGTACATGCAATTCAGATGATTTTCCTTGATTATTTTATTTATGAAGAATGCATTTATATACAAGTATGCAGATTTATATTTGTTTATGGAGTAATGACAAAAAAGGTAACATTTCAAAACAATTTCATGTGTTTATTATGTATTTATTGTATTTTCAACAAAATTATATAATAAATTAAATACGTTTAAAAATTTTCAACATAATTTTCTTTTAAATGTAGTTAATTAATGAATTTAGTTATCTTTTAAAAAAATGTCTTTTGTATCATGAATATCTTGACGTTCTCTTTGGGTCATGCCATTTGAACATATGAACTAACCTTTGCTCTCTCTAATTTTATACTGTTTTCAGCAAAGGTTTTAATGGCTCTGAAAATGTCAAGTGGTTTTAACATCAAATAAATTAAACAATTTTGCTGTATTTTTTCCAGATTTTGATTTAACTTGAAGTGATGAATTCATTTTTTTAATATTATGACATTTTGCAATGTTCTCTTTGGGTCATTCCTTTTGACTTATGACAACATGAACTCTCTCTAATTTTCTGTTTTAAGGTTTTCTTGTCACATGACAAAATGTTTTCTGCATGTAGTTATACCACAAATATAAATATGTATGCATATTTATTTTTTCTTATGGGTCATTGACAAATAAGATCACATTTTGAATATACTAATTTTTTATGTTTTAGTGACATGTAAAGTGGTTTTAGCATTAAATAAATGAAACATTTTTATTAAAAAAAATATATAGTAATGATTTTTGAATAGTAATTTTTATTTAATTTTAATTATTGATTTTTTTATTGTAAACTATTATGACTTTTTTATATTGAATGTCTTGATGTTTTCTTTGGGTCATGCTATTTGACATATGACAACATGAACTAACCGTTGCAAAGATTTAAAATATATATTATTATTATTATTATAGAATTTACTCTTTTAGTGAGTCTGTTCGTCCACCTTTACATTTTTTTACATCTTCTCTTTAGCTGCACAAAAATATAAGAACAAATTTAATTCAAAAATCAAAAACATGTTCATCAGTATTAAAGTCTTTTAAAACGCAACTAAGCAGCGAGTGGCGGATAGCAGTAGTGTATACCATGAAATAATGAAAGTACATGCATGTCGAGAGAGTTAGGAAGTAGCTTGGGTACACGGCAAAGAAAGCGAAGGGTACGAGAGCCCAAGATTCCCTGCCAAAGTCATTTTGCTCTCTGGCCCCACCCCTGCACATGGCAACATCGCTTCAATTAACAGAGCAGCAGGTGCTCTTGAGAGATAGAAGGCTTTTCTTGATTTCTTTCTCTCTTTTTTAGGGTGGGGGGTGACCTGTAAATGTGACACTTCACACTCTGAATGGGTTTGCCTGTTCCTCCACCTATTTCAGAGGTGTTAATTTAACTCTCTCTCTCTTTCACTCCTTCAGGTCTCCAGTCTGAAGAGTACTCTCTCTCTCTTTTTCAGGTCTCTAGTTTGAAGAGTAAGCTGAAGAAGCAGTCGACTGCTACAGGAAGTGGGGTGGCTCGGGCCTTTCTACATGCTCAGGCTGCGCTGTTTGGCTCCTATCGGGATGCCCTGAGATATAAACCTGTAAGACTGTCACTCTTCACTTCAAGCTTTTCACAAAATATCACCTTATCATCACATTATCAACACGTATCAACATGTATCATTTTGATACATAATACAATAATTGCTATTCTGCGAGGCTTTATAGTGCAAAATGTATTTTATTTTATTTTCTATTAATTTTTTTATTTTATTTTATTATTATTTTATTTTTTATTTATTTTATTTTATTATTATTTTATTTTTTTATTTTATTATTATTTTATTTTTTATTTATTTATTTATTTATTTATTTTATATTTTATATTATTTTGAGTCAAAGCCATTTCAAGAGACAGAAAGGCTGAAAGAAAGGGAAAAACAGGTGCAGGAAAAGGTGGGCCTGTCTGCATAGCCGAAACGTCAGATGTTGAAAAGCCTGGACTATCTCTTTGAAGTCTCAGGCCCTTCGTGGACTTCTCAGACCCTCTAAACTCCTGAAATGTGCCTCACGGTTCTGTGAGTGGCGTTGAGGAAAACAAAGGGCGCTCTCTATTTGTCAAAGGTGGCCATCTTTGTTGGCAAGGCAGAGAGTAATTGGTTTGTGTAGACCCACAGAGCGAAGATACATTATTGATGTTTCAGCGGTTGTGCACAAACTGTCTTTTCGCCGCTAGAAAAAAAATACACGCGCTCGAAGTCAAGTCTGCGCAACTCTTAGCCTTCAAAGTGGTGCCTCAATTGAGCACATTGTCTGCAAATCTACATGGAATTACCAGTTTTTATTCATCGTTTTTTAAAATTTTTATTGAAGGCCCTCAGTCTCACCACTTTCATTTGCTTCGCATTTGCTTTAAAGCGTAAGCTCAAATACGGAGCGCTCTTTTGACAGTCGGCCCTATAGCTCATTAGAATTCTGAGAAGTCGAACAATTGAAAATCAGTCTTTGTGCTGCTTTATTTTGATTAATATTTCACTTTGTTATTACTGAGACAAAAAAAACACCCTTATGTCTTTGAAATGACAGCATTGCAGTGCTATTTAGCTGAAAACATTGCATTAGTTGCCATCTTTTATTATTAAATCAGTAATTTATGCATCATTTCAGAGCATCCCTCCTTGAATGCCTGCATGCATCTGAAATGGAATAGCGGTATTTGATTTTACACACCCAGTATTTCACCAGCATTACTGTCATGTTCTACGATAATGGCTTATCTTCTGTGTGCTGCATTTCTAAAGAAGTTCCTCCATTTGCAACCAATCATCGGTGTGAAATACCGCTCTGCTTTATGGAGCCCATATGCATTCCCATCAGCGTCTTAGCAGAACGCCGACATCTAACTGAGCTGTAAATGAAACAATGCAGGGAAATCATAATTAGCTCCCATGCAAGAGTCGGCAATCATGGACTTATATAGGTCACTGTAGTGCGATACCTCATGGGGCTCTTTTGTTATTGACCCCCAAGCACCAGGAACGACGGTAATAAATGTGCACATCAGACAGGTTTTAAGCCACGCCATTTAGCTGCTGTGAAAGTCAATTATACAAATTTAGAATTGGATTATAATTGAAACAAAAAAGGTTGCTAGAAATGTTGGCTTTTCTTGCTATTGAGACTTGTTCTTGAAACACATTCAGAATGAATTTCTGTTAAAATGCATCTGATGTAATCAGACTCAATTCCATGTGATAAGTAGGAATGGTTTTACGAATGATTTACATGAGCATGTTGAGTTTCTGTGAAAATTGTTAGTAAAACCAATCTATTATTATTAATAAATTATATTTTTATTTAAAAAAAGGAACAGCAGAGTTTCTTAAATTATTCATAAACATTCTTACATAAGTGGTCACGCTCAGTTCAATGCAACAAATTATATAGTATCTAGAAACAAGCAGTAGTTATTTGAAATTTGTCTGTAAAACTATACTTGCATAAATAGTCACATGCAATTAAATGCAAGAAGTTTATCTATTTTATGTGTTCTGTGAAAATTATTATAAAAACTATTCTTAGTAAACAGTCACATGCAATTCAGTGTGACAGTGCAGGAATAGTTTTACTAACTGTATAGAAATGACAAGAACGAAGTTCTGTGAAATTATTTTTAAAACCATTCTTTAAACAAATAGTTGCATTCAATGCGACAGAACAGTAAGAATAGTTTTATGTGTGAACTGTTCTTAAAATCATTCTTACATAAATAGTTGCATTCAATGGAACAGCACTGTAGGAAAAATTTTATGAACAGTTTATGTAGAAACAACCAGAACGAAGTTTCGTGAAAATTGTTCTCAAAACCATTCTTACATAAATATTTGCATTCACTGCGACAGTGCAGAGCAATCTGTATAAGAATAGTTTTATGAAGAGTGTATGAGTAGTTAACATACAACAACAACAAATTTCTGTGAAAACTGTTCATTTACAATGGAACTATTTATATTTATATTCTGTACAATTTATATAAAAATAGCTTTACAGATTGTAAACATACATCCAAGAAGAACACATTTCTGTAAAAATTGTTCTTTAAACCATTCTTACATAGTTGCTTTCAACACGACAATACAATGAAATTTGCGCAGAGAAGGTTTTATGAAAAATTCGTATTGAAATCAGTTTTTAAGCCCACAGGATCTCAAATCTTTTCCCATTGACGCATACAGACGAAGTGTGGGCTCCTAACAAGCCTTAGTTCTCTCCTGGCAGATATTTTTTGTATTCCGTTCATGCGACTCGGGGAGAAATTGAAATGATGTAATTGATTGCAACGGGTGATGATGGTTAACAAGCGAGTGCAGTCAAACAAAACATCTGTCTGTGAGTCTCGGATGAAGCAGCACCGTTTTCAGCCGTTTTAGCCAATAGCGGACTGTCTATAGTCATTAAAGCGCGCTTTCTCATCCCCAGGGAGAGCCAATCACCTTCTGCGAGAAGAGCTTCATGGCACATCGCTCCAGCACCATGAGAAGTTTCCTTGAGATGGCCGTGAACCTGCAACTCTTCAAGCAGGTAGAGTGGAAATGAGTGGAAACAGTTTTCCGCCTCAACCATAAATTACTCAAAACCACATTTGCAATGTTTCCTGTTTTGGGCTTTTAGTTGACAAGTGTGTGATTTTTATATAGATACGCCTTCAACATATTGCACAGTAACTCTTAGGGAATCTTGCATACACTTGAACCAACGCTCCCTCCAGCTCTATTTATAGCCATGATATCGAGTCTCTTTCCTTCCCCCTCCGCTAAAGTCTTAATTTATACCCGGAACGAGCAGTTGCACATTTAATCACATCTCCGTCTTGATGCACCATCCGCCTAACGTTCCCTCCAAAACCCAGATAGTGACCAGCAGTTCAAAGACATCTCCACCTCCCGCCCGTGTAGTAGCTCCGGGATCTTATCTCCAACTTGGCCGTACTGCAAAAGGCCAGCACCGCTGTGCCCCGTTCTGACCATGAACCACATCCGCTTGGAGGTCAGCCCTGCCTAGAAACGAGTAGAGGCTGGCTGCCAAGAGATTGCGGGGGAAGTCTGTCAACGACGACCTGCTTTCTGTCTCCTAACTCTCCCCCCCTCCACGTCTTCCAGCACTTGATGCTAACTCACGATCACCCTGCCAACGAGAGAGAGCTTGCAGCGCTCTGGCATCTCCCCATTTCCCTGTCTGCACGGGTCCGGTTAACCGGTTCTTCCTCCAGACTCTCATCACTACCCCCTCGACACCTTCAGACGCAGCGCTTTTGTTTTTGTTCAATGCTGTGTAGTTTCGTTCAGCAAATTTAGTTGCTTGGAAACGTTTCCCCAGCTATCGATGCTGGCCTTTTGTTCATGTCATAATTGAACGTGAAGATCACAAAGCTTTTATTACACATTAAATACAAGAAGTGGCAGAAATGTGCTTTGACTTCGCTAAAACCCATTTCGCGATCCCATTTGTTTTGGGAGCGAACAGTGCTGCGGAAGCGTTACTATGAATTCCCTTGTCAATTTAGGAGTAACAAAAAGCTTTACATAATCAAATGTTGGGAATATGTATGTAACTGTCCGTGAATTGTTTATTTGCCAAACTACGGTAAGTTTCTGCAAATATGTGTCAGTTACAGAGGATTTGGGTGAGCAGATCCACAAAAGCATTGGCGCCTGAGATCTATTGCAATGAATTGTCTTTATTGTTGCACATTCTCATTGGTTTGTTGGCATGTGCATGTTTTTATGCACAATTAAATTAGCCATACCATCCCCTTTTAAAGAATGTGGTGCCACATTCAACAATGGACAAATCAAGGCAACATTGGCTGGAAAAATGTGGAAAGAATTTATAACTTCATTCACTAATATAATTTTATACACTTACAATGCATTTACCCTGAACATACCATTTTGCAACATTTTTGCAACCTTAATATAAAGTTAAAAATAAAAATGCTGTTTTAGAAAGCAAACAACACCAACTCCATCATCAAGTGTTTGTTCTTAGATACTATAGTCTTAAAAGGTCCCCAAAACAAGCAGATAGGTAGGAGCAGTGTCCAATTAATGGGACGAAAGTGTGTCTGTAACCCGATACTGAAGGATGAAGTTTCGGATAGGTGTTAATTTGACCTGATCGCATGCTGTAATTGGACTGTAGCGTGGCTGAGGCTGAACCCTGTGGTCACATCACTCATTAGGAGATTGTAATGAAGTTACCCTGTAGCAGAGTCCAATGAAAGGTGCTGACCCCCAGAGATGTCCTTACCCAGTTACGGGGACACCTGAGACCTGTTCTGGCCTACTGTTACTACAGTGGTCCCATTAAATGAATGTTTTCAAAAATGGTTCAAAAATCAAGAAGCACATGTGATTTGTTAGTGATGTTCACTAACAATATTGCTCCACTTAAAGTAAAACCCCTAACGCTCAGTATTAAATGTTGACGCGTAACCATTCTGTGCTACAAACATGTTACATAAATTCATGACGTCAAAAAAACATGTAAATATAGACATATATAAACATTTCAATGTATATTTGATATGCAATATGCAATAAGTTACATACTGTATTTCTAATGTAAACACTTTATACAAATACATATTCAGGTATGTGCCGGTAAAATATGAAAAGAACTGTTTTAATGCATAAATACAAGTATTTGTCTGGTACTTTTTATTAGATGTTGAACAAAACTAAGCATTTTAAATGCATTTATTATTTAATCCAATTTTTATTATTTATTTATTTTTTACTTTTTAATTTAATCATAACACAAAAATAGGTATTTGTACATCACATAGCTGTATTAATGTTGGAAGAGTAAACTACAGATAATCTGCAGATCCTTTATGTATTCCTTGATGACTTATTTTTTAAGTTTTTGCGTTTATGGACCAAAATAAACTAAATAAATATGAATAGAAGTTATCGAAAATTATGTTTTACAAATAACCCATATTTTCTTATCCATATGGTATTTTTCCGGTAAAATTATTAACTGTACTACAGTATATATTGCACTTTTTGCTGTAATATCTTTACACGTTTTATCTTTATTCCCAATATCTTTAATAAATCTATTATTTATCTGTAGTATATTTATTCTGTTAATTCCTTTTATACAAAAATGTTTTTTATCAAACATCTTCAATATAAGTTTCCACACCCTTCCTTACTTTGACATGCACTATTCAGATTTTGTTCAGAAAATATATATATTTTATGTATTTAGAAAATATATTCAAAATCTAGTTATAGTTATCTGCTATACTTGGAAGTATTTTCAAATGAAATAAATAAAATATCATAGGCCTTCCTTTAATAGGCATATTTATTAGATCCCTTTTAGGTCCTCTATGGGACAAGAGAGGAAATTAAACTTCCCAAAAAGCATTGCTCACACAACATTCTCCTCTGCCATGTTAATCCATCACCTGATGTAAATTACACACAGTGACCACGTCTAGAGCAGTCTAGATGGAATTGTTTTGCTGTTGTTCTCCATCCCCCTCTTTCCTTAATAACCTGTGATACTTTAATTTATGACGGCAGTTCATTGAAGGCAGACTGGCCAAATTAAACGCAGGAAGGGGCTTTACAGACGTCTATGAAGAGGAGATCACAGTGGGGGGCTTCTGTAGAAGTGAGTGCCACCTCTCCGTCTTTCAAAGAGAGAAAACAGCTCACACACACTTGTATGACTTTTACTCTTATAATAACATTAGGCATTGTACAATGTACGATTTTAATAGAAGTAGCCAAAAATGAAATTTGTCATTATTTACTCCTTTCCTGACTGACTTCTGCAGAATACAAAAATAAGAAATTTTGAAGAGGGTCCATACTGCTCTTTTCCATACAAATAAGAAGGGACCAGTTGTCAGGCTCTAAAATGAAAAAAGCTCCATAAGAGACATTTAATTTTTTTCTAGTAAACAAACAAGTCTTAGATTTGTCTTATTTTATTTAAAAGTTGCCAGATTCCTTTTAAACGTTATTTATAATCTGTGGCACTATGAATAAAAAAAAAAAAAATGAAATAATATATTTCTGAATATACATACAGTGCCATTCAACTGTTTGGGGTTGGTAAAATTTTTTGCACAGTCGTCTCTTATGCTCACCAATGCTGCATTTGTTTGATCAAAAATACAGTAAAAACAGTAATATTGTGAAATTATTATTGCAATATAAAAAACTTTTTTTAGTTTTTAATGCATTTTAAAATTTATTTATTCCTGTGATTGTAAAGCTGAATTTTATAGTTCATTGTCATATGGTCCTTCATAAATTATTCTAATATGCTGATTTGGTGCTCAAAAAAATTCTTATTATTGTCAATGTTGTACATTTTTATTTCAGGATTCTTTGATGAATAGAAATGTCAAAAGACAATATTTATTTTTGTAACATTGGTACATTGTTTTTACTGTCACTTTTAATCAGTTTAACTCATCCTTGCTGAATAAAGTTGTCATTTTCAAAATCTAACAGACCCCAAACTTTTGTAATACATATAATCTCATGATCTTTTTTTTTCGGAATAATATTTTATTCTGAATTTAATATTAACACTCCCATGCGGCACTGTTTTTTAGGTAATTCGAGGTCTTATCAGCAGTGGATTCACACCAAGATGGTAAGCAGCAGGCAGTTATTAGTTTTTCTGCTTATAATGTTAATGTTCATTTCAGCTGAATAATTAAGCCCAAAGCAGCTGAGAGCCATTATTATTTCCTGTGTGTTATGAGGTGATGAAATGTATCCAGTTGAGCGAATCTCTGGAAAGTGGAGATGCGATGCCAGGGAAGATGGTGAAAACCGTGGCGTGGCACAGTTAAGATGTTGAGACAGGCTTGATATGATGTGACAGCCAGTCATCAGAGATGACACGAGACTTCTGGCAGGAAACACAGCCATTACTCGATAGATTGAACAAAAGAAAAGCCCTCTTTTCTTCTCTCCTTCCCTCTGCTGTCTTCCTCTCACCTCTCTCCGTGCTGTCTCTCACGCCTGTTTTCTTTTTGACTGTCTCTTTGCGTTCTCTCCTTCACTTCTATCCGTCAGCCGGAGCCGAATTAGTTCTCTGGAGTGCCTTTTTCAAAAGGTTTTGTGTAAAGTTCACATCCTCTGACTGACACAAATCCATAAGAAAGGGCCGCGGCGCCGTCATGTCGGTCAAGGCTTTGGGATGTAAACTCGGCAGCATCCGGCGCATTTCAGAGGTTTAGCGTGTTAGCCTTGCAGCATTCATCCGGTAAAGACCGATGTTATCCAGGAACGAGAGATGAAATCAGACAAGAACATAGCATTCAATGGTATGAGCGTCACTCTCTCTGGTGTCACACTCATATAAAGGGACCAGACCTATTTAATAGCTTGCTTTAATGGCAAAGGTTTTTCTCTTTGCTTTGGGGCAAAACAAATGTTTTGACTTGAGGAACAAGGTGTTTATTCGGCCATTAATGATTTGTGACAGTAAATGTGTTTATTTTATGTGAGATTTATTCAGCTAAACTTACAGGAAATGCTGGCACATTCTCTGGAAATTCATGTTCTCAGCAAACTGTTCTCTTCTCCATAGCGGCAGAGAGCAAAACCAGTTGTGAAAAACCTTCAGATGGTAAGTTCACAGTGGAAAAGGGTGTTCTGGCCTTAGATTTAAATTTTATTTGCTATAAGCAGATGTGGGATTACAGTATGGTTCATGGTGCTTTATTCTCCCTCATGTCATTCGAAAACGGTGTTGCTTTCTTTCATATGTGGAACATAAAAGATCTTTTGTGACATATTATAAAATTTATTGATAAAATTGTGTTTTTTGTCCATACAATGGAAGTCAATAGGTACCAATGTTGTTCCTAAATTTCTTTTGCTCTGTTGCTTTCAATTGTGTAAATGCGTTAACCTGATTTTTATAACCTGATTAACCAGTATTCTAGTTACTAGAAATCTGTGTCCAACTTTGTGCATGTGCCTGTAACAATCAGAGTTTTGTGTCATGGGTCAATTTTGGAATTTTGGTAAACACAATATTTGGAATATGTAATGGTTTTTCCTTAAAATCGGTGCAGAATGTGGAAAAAAGTGGCCTTCATTCAGCAATTCACCAAACGCTTGCATGCTATTGTTAAGAACTTGACAGACAGGTTTGAATGAATAAAGTTGATTAAGTTATTGTGCGGAAGTGCTAAAATTGCAGTGTAGTTGTGTGGTCACATTAGCGAAATTGTCACAATTTTGCTAAAATTCGGACAAATTTTTGTCAAAGAGTAGCTGTTAAAAAGATCACTTAAACAACTGTTAAAGGTCACTTTCAAACTATGAAGCTTTTTGATGGTCAACACAATGAATTTGCACGACTAACTTGAACACAAGTGAGAGCTGCATAGTTCGCAAGCAGATTCCTATTTAAACGACTTGATTTCGCCTGTTAAATTTAGCCAAACAATGGTAAATGTGACGGCAGCTTGATAAATAGCAAAATCAAATGACTTACTTTCTTCTGTGCAACATAAAAGATATTTTGAAGAATGTTTGGAACCAAACAATCTTGGAGCCCATTGAATTTCATTGTATGGAAAAAAACAAAAAGACATTTCTCAAAATATCTTCTATTATGTTCCACAGAAGAAATAAAGTTATACAGGTTTGAAATGACATGAGGGTGAATAAATAATGGCAGAATTTTTGTTTTTGGGTAAACTTAAACTATCCCTTTGATGTGATTGTCTTCTCCCTTTTTAACATTTCATTGTTGGTTATGGTTTGATCTTCCTAAATGTTGCAATTCAACTATTGAGTAGCTTTTCTCTCTCTTTTGAAAGGCCAAAAATCATGCGAAACGGAAAATACGCGACATGAAGGACAAGATTACACAAAAGGTGAGTTATTCAGAGTTCTCATTCTGTCAAAACTATATATATTGGGCGTTCGAAAGCATCTAACTGATCCCCAGAAATACTGTCTGGATAGGCAGCTCACCGTCTCTCACATTTACACTCATACAGTGCTCATGCACACACTATTTAAGATGGATCTCATGACTTCACCCATGGCTCGCGCTTAGGGTTTTAAATGGCTTGTGAAACCTGCTTAGCGCTTTGTTCAGGAGTGTACATTTCTAACAAGTGCGCCTCTGGCGATGGGCTGTCATGTCAACCCCCCTCCCCAGCACCACCTTTCATATTTTTTGCATATTTCATCACTGAGCGAGTGATTTCTTCAAAGCTAATGTGACGAGATGTATGTTTCCATAACACTGATGTCTTTGATAAGGCAACTGTGGCGTGAACTGTCAGGCCAGGAGCTTGGAAAGGCGGCCCAGAGGAGAGGAGACGAGACCTCTCACAGTTGATACGCTGCTTCTGTCTGCTCGGCTTCAGCTAAACCAAAACAGATTTGAACGCGTGTGTTCGTATAAATAATCATGCGGTACAAGGCTCAAATGGGCTTGTAGCATAGCAAATTGCACACAATAAAACTGGGTACAAGTATTATGTGTGATTTCTCAGTTTTCCTCTGTTTTCAGCAGGATGCTTAAGAGGAGGAAAGCTGTTGTCACATTAGGGCAATTTTGCCAAAATTTCACAGGCAAAAAAATCATTATCAATGCGTGAAGCACAGCGTTTGCACAGAAGTTACTTTTAACTTTAACTTGAATATGAGTGAAATCTATATAGGGTACTTCTTCGCTGTCACTGGACTGGATTTCACTCACAAAATTTCACAGATTTTGCCTGTAAAATTTCATAGAGCAACGATAAATGTGACCGCACCTTAATTAATGAAAAAAAATCAAATGACTTTTTCTGTGGAACACAAAAGATATTTTAAAAAAGGTTAATAACACACTGACAAATTGCACAAAATAAAAATAAGTAAATATTAAGAAAGTATTTTGTGTGATTTCTCAGTTTTCATCTCTTTTTTGCTTCTCGACAGGGTCCTAAAGTGGAGGAAAGGTCCAGTCACATAGGGAAATTTTGTGGAAACTTCACAGAAATTTCACGGGCAAAAAAAGACCAATTGTCAGTTGTGTCAGTAGTGAAATCTGCGTAGAGGGCTCCTTAACTTTCACACAAACCTCCCGATAGCGCAAATTCCTATTAAAATGTTTGGATTTCGCCCACAAATGAACGTAAAATAAGATTTTTTTTAAGCATGTTGGAAACACTGACGCATCTGGTACATATTAAGAATGTACTATGCCTGATTTCTCAGTTTCTCTCTTTTTTTTGCTTCTCCACAGGATGCTGAAGAGGAGGAAAGCCCGTACTGTGCAGGTTCTCCCACCAGCACTAAAAGCCTCTCACCCAGGAGACTTCAGAGGAAAGCGGTGAGC